AGGGGGGCTCCGTGCATGAATCGTAGTGTGTGGATTGCCTAGACCAGTGAGGTGAAGATTAGGTGAAAGTTTTAAATTAGGGGTTGGTTTTGGAGACTAAATGTCTAGAAAAATAATATAAAGGGCATAAAAATTAATTTGTGTGAACATGATACTTCCTTCCAAGCCTTTATGAATTGAGCAAGTAAGCCTATTAGGGTATCTTCAAGCCTGGTGCCCTAAGATCAATTGGTCTGGGAGTTACCGGCCAAAAGCTCGCTACAGCGATCATATAGAAAGCAAGAAGGGAAAAAGTTAATAAAAAGTCATCTGATTAAGCCTTTATAACTCGAGTGAATAAACTTGCAAGAGTTTAAAACTTGGTGTCCTAAAACCAACTGATCTAGGAGTCACCGGCTAAAAGCTTGCTACTATATATATATATATATATATATATATATATAAGGCATGTAAAAAGCCCCTTGGATATTTGGTTGATAAAACTACACCTTCAATGCGAGGCAAGTAACTTCGTTTAATTTTAAGGGTTGAAGCAATCAAATTTGGGATAGCTCTCACTTATTAACATGTGAAATTCTGATAACAAGATCAATTTGAACTAAGAGAGGATAAGAGCTACAGTTAACTAACCTCCTATCTTTAAAACACAACCCTAGGATAATTGAGTAAAAATAATAAGTTTGGGGAGGCTCTCGATTGAAGCAAGGACATATTTGACCACTTTAGCATGGGATTCACCCCATCATGAACTTGATATGTTGGCATGATTTCACACACGTATGTCGGGTATGCATTTAACAGGTAAAGGTTGGTTTCATTTTTGCACTGATCAAATTTTATTGAAGCATAACACTTAGTCCAATCCTGAGATACGACAAGTTATTAAGCCATGTTTGTGTAGAATTAAGTCACTATCTTCTTTGAGGACAAACAATAGTTCAAGTTTGGAGGTTTGATAAGTGTGTTTTTACATACTTATTTAGTTCACAAATATGACGTAATTAAGAGCAAAATATTGGAATTGTGATTTAATTTTGATTAATTTGTGTATTGTAGGATACACTGATGAATATGATGAAATTCAGGAGAAAACAGGCGAAAAAGGACTAAATTGAAGCAAAGTTAAAAAGTTCAGGGACCAAAGTACAATTATCTGAAAAGTTGATCCGACGGACACATCAAGCAATTGATCGAGCTAAGTACCAATTGGAGATCATAATGGAACATTGAAACAATTAGAAACATGAAAGGAGGTCAAGAAGTGGAGGAATAAAGTTTTAGGACCAACATAACATAATTTGAAAGTTTTTTCTACTATACGGTTGCATAGTAGAAACCCTTATGTGGTCGCGAACACCAAGGAAGGGAAATAACATGCCAAATTTCATAAACCTATGCGGTCACATAGGTATATTCTGGGGCCGATTCTGCAAATTCCTATTCGCGATGAAATTCTTATGGAAACCTGATCTAAACACGATATAAATACCCAAATCTGTCAGAAACAAAGAGAGAATGCATTGGGAGGCAATAAAACACATCTTTGAGAGAATCTTGGGTCGAAGGAACAAATAAATTTACGAAGACCATCGAGATTTCACACAAATTCATAACCCGTGATGTTTTTTCTTCAATCTATGATGTATTTTGATTCTTTCTCCATGTTAGGCTAGATTTTCATATACTAGGAGATCGATGAACCATATGATGTAATCTTTAATTTTCTAGTTTTGCAATTTGACATTAAAACGTGTATTTGGATATTTGAATGAATTATATGCATTGATTTTCTTCCATAATTAAGTGCACGTAATTATGTGATGTGTGGTGATTTATTTCATCTATTTGAGAGAAGAGAAATAAATTCGACAAGGTATAATTCATCGTAGGGTCCGATATGGGATAGAGGTATACCTGTATATTTTATGTGAATCTTTAAGTGTTCATAAAATCGAATACATTTTTATATATGCACTTGTTATAGAGGTATAAGCCGGTGATATGTAAAAATAGGTTCAATACATTTCGAGAGAGAGTATTGGATAGAATTAGGAACATTGATTCGTCAATAATTCATTCACGTGTCATTTGTGAAATTAGGGTTTAAGGTGATCATTGCATGAGAATTCGTTATCCTAGTGCGATTAATATTCAGTGAATACAACAAAATTGCAGTCGAACCATTTATCTGCATTTTAATTAATTAAAAATTCATTTTGCCCATTAGATCCTTTAATTCATAGCATTTGCATAATTAATGTTTCCTTTAGGTTAAGAATTCAATTTGGATAATTCAGTTTCGGTTAAGACTACGATAGGGAGAATTGAATTGTTCAATCCCTGTGGGACGATATTCGGACTCAAATATCTACTTTATTGCTTGTTAACGAACCGTACACTTGCGGTGGTTTAAATCGAAAGAAATATTTCGTGAACACATTCTATCTATACAGTCTGTTTGTATTACTATTGCATCCCTTACCTTAGTACCGTACAGTTTGCCTGAATTTTGTCTGCTTGTGTCCCCCTGCCCGATACCTATGTTGATCCAACCTGCATTCCCTACCACAATGCCTATATCACTTTGACCGGTGATCCCTACCATGGTGCTTGTGTTTTTTCGACCTGTGTCCCTTGTCGTAGGTAGTCTTATCTAGACGTAGCGCACTGCCTGCATTACCCGCATGACCTAGCTGCAATCTGAATGTATCGACCACGATCGTGGAGAGGACGTAAATCACTTTCTCACCAAATTAGGCGACGCCCTTATTGGCATTACCGTCAAATTTTAGATCTAATTTGCTATAGGTCTACCTCATGTTCCCACATTGTGCCATGACATTCCCGCATTATGCCGAATCTCTTGTCACTCCCTTGCGATCCATGACAACTAGCACCCAATTCCATTATTTTCAAAATATTTTTTTTTCATATTTTCTTTTTAATTACACATTTTCAATAAAAATACTACATACAGATTTAAAACTTTTATTTATTTTTAAATCAAACATTCTCCATCAATCTACATTGTCAAAACACATTCTTAATAAAAAGATGGAGCTTAAACGACAACCAGACAGTGAGAGGTACATGACATATGCTGAATCTCTCGAGTTAATTGTTCCAATGGTCACTGAACTTATAACTATATATTATATTGCTCATTGAAGTTTAAAGTGTCATGTCTTGGCTACTGAACTTTAGAAAACATTGTGCGTTATTCATCGGTATAACTTCCGTCTCAAACCTCTAACGAAATTAATGATGTGGTTACGAAATGTACATGTGGTGTCCTGTCCCATTGTTAAACTTTGAGATAGTCAAATTTTGGTCATTAAATCAAAAAAATATTTTCTATTGTTCACTAAACTTTGAGATAGTTAAATTTTGGCCATTGAACGTTGATATAGTCGAACTTTGACCACTAAACTTTGAGAAACATCTTCTATTACTCACTATAAATTTGGTTTTAATTAATCCTCTATTTATTTCCCCTTATAATATAACTCTTTATTTTTATACTAATTTGTAATCACACATTTATACAATGAAATATTTTGCATGTAAATTAGTTTTTTTCAACTTTTTAACCATATATTTTTCAAAAAAATCACTATTTAAAACTTTTTTAGAAAAATAATGGCCGTCAAATAGGGTTAAAATTCGTTGTTAAAATCCGAATTTAATTTAATTTTAATAATAAATATATTGCATGTTTTATGTCAATTAATAGCCACTTCCTTTGCACAACTTTTCAAAACATTTTCTATTGCTCACAATAAATTTTGATTTAATTAAAATCATTGTAAATACTTGGATTTAATTTTATTTAATAACGAATTCATTACATGTTTTGTTGTAAAATTCAAATATTATGATGATGATATTTTAAAATTCTATAAAAGCAAATTAAATTAAATTTAACTATTGTGATTTGAGTAATCAGTCTCAGTGGTATAGACAATTCTTAGAAAGCTATGTAAAGAAAGTGACTACTAATTGCAATGAAATACACAATATATTTATTGTCAAAATTAAGTTAAATTCGAATTTTAATAACGAATTTTAACCCTTGTTTGATTCCCATTATTTAAAAAACAAAAAGAGCTTTAAATAGTGATTCTCCAGAGAATGTGTAGTTAAAAAGTTGGAAAAAAAATTTGAGGTTACGTTTAAAATATTTTATTGTATAAATGCGTGGTTAAAATTGAGTGAAAAAATTAAAGAGTTGTGTTTTGAAGGGATATCAAAAGAGGCTGAGTTAAAACCAAATTTATAATAAGTAATGAAAGACATTTTTTAAAATTTAGTGGTTAAAATTCGATCACCTCAAAATTTAGCGAGCAATAAAATATGCTTTTCAAATTTTAGTGACCAAAATTCGACTATCTCAAAGTTTAATGGTGTGACGGGAAGTCATATGTGCATTTCGTCAGTCACATTATAAATTCCGTTAGAAGTTTGATACGGATGTTATGTGAGTGAGTAATGTACAATGTTTGTCAAAATTTACATAAACATAACATTTTGAACTTCAGAGTAATTGAAGATATATGAGTTAATTGTTCTAATGGTTACTGAATTTAGGTTTATGTCTTTTATTGGTTACCGAAGGTTAAGAAGTTAAGTCTTGGTCACTGAACTTAGATCCATGTTTTCAATTGCTTACTGAAATTTAAAATGTCCAGTTTTGACCACTAAACTTTGAAAAATATTGTAAATTACTCATTGTAAACTCAATATTTTTCAATAGTAAGTAACGTATGTCATATTTCAAAGTTCAGTGACTAAAACTCGACATTTTAAATTTCAGTGAATAATCGAATATATGGACTTAAGTTTAGGGAGCAATAGAAGATATAGACCTAAATTCAATGATTAAAATTCGATATTTTAAATTTTTATGAACCTGAGTTTATTCAGTGATCATTAGGACCATTAACTCAAGATATATATATAACAATTAAGCCGAATCTCTCCCCATTCTTCGACTGATTTTCAGACGCAACACCAAGAAAGAGGGGTGGCGTGGGTGTTGGGGTGGCGTTGAGGTGAAGCTACAGGGAGCGAGGGAGGGAGAGAGATCTTGAAATTACGTGGAGAGTATTGGAGTTAAGCATGACATTTTCTCCAAAAATCCGCCTTACGTTGAGTACAAAGCTTGTTTACAAGTCACCTCAAAGTTTCCTCCCTTTGTCCCTTTGTCCGTTAATCTCTCTCTTTTTCTCTATCTTTCTTACGTTGTTAACTCACCCCTGCTGTCCTCATCTGCACTCTGCCTCTACCTCACGGCCCTCCTGAGGCCTTTCAAGAATTGTGAAATTTCACGTTTATTTCTTCCCACAAAGTTTCCACTCATATTTCTTCTCGTGATTATTTTTTCGCAACTTTTCTTCATTAATTCTGGGGGTGCCTATGAATTCGAGGAGGCATTTGTTGCTGTTTTTATTGTTGATCGAGTTGATATGTGCGGTGAAGGGCAATGTGGTTTTTAAAGTTCAACATAAATTTGGAGGCCGTGGGAAGGGCGTGGAGGCTTTGAGGGCTCTCAAGGCTCATGATTCTGGCCGCCATGGCCGACTGCTGTCAGCCGTTGATTTTCAGTTAGGCGGCAATGGGAAGCCTACAGATGCAGCGTATATATCATAATCATATGCGTTTTGTTTTATATATTTCTATGTGATGCTTCTAAGCATTTTTGTTTATGGTATAATGTTACTGTCGGTTTTTTGAAAATCTGGTGTTTATGTATTGTTTTGGTTACTAGGAATGTTTGATGGCATGAAATTGAGGACTTTGAATGAAAATTTGTGAAGAATCAAGATGAATTTAAATCATTTCTGTTTTGTCAAAGGCAGTTTTAAAGTAAAGCATATTCTTTTGAATGATGAGGATTCGTTGGAGTTGATACAATGGATCATCATCCAAGCTGCCTCAAATTTCATATCTTGTTCTTGCTTTAGTATTAAGAAATGACGGGTTTTATTTTATTTATTTTTCTGTTTTTTCTATGTTATTTGTTATTGTATATGTCATAGAGGCAATCATTAGTATACTTGTTCATACGTATGTACATGTGGATATGACTTTGTGTTATTTGGCTCCTTTTATATGGGGAGTTAAAATTATGTGAAAGCTAGAAAAGGAAGAATATGGAAAGTTTTGATATCTTGCATCTCTTTATCATTTCGTTATATGTACTAAAGCTTTGTTGTTGTTCATGATGTTGGAGTTTTGTGTTGATTATGAAGGGAAACTCTAAGAAAGAAAAAGGAATATAGTTAATGAGGTAATAATTTCCGTAGGAAGCATGGTTGGAACTGAAATTGATTTGTTTGGATTTGTTGCCTATATCTAACACGACTTAAAACTTGTGTGGGAACTTTTCATTATGTGATATTATATGACAATATTGAATATGAATACATGTTTACATTCATGCACGTATTTATTGCTATTAGCTTTCCTTGCAAAATAGTCGTAGCTGTCAGAATCTCTATATGTAGCCTTGTTTTGATTCTGTTTTCTCTGCTAAATAGCTTTTTTATTGCACCAACTTTGAACAACTGAAAATTGCACATACGCTCATAATTTGTTTCTTGACAACGGTTTTTATGATGCATTGTTGCAGGCTGTATTACACCAAGATTTCTATTGGGTCTCCTCCGAATGACTATTATGTACAGGTCGATACAGGAAGTGACATTCTCTGGGTGAATTGTAAAGACTGTGATCGGTGTCCTACAAAAACTGACCTTAATGTATGTCTTTCTCCTTTATATTTTCGTTTTCTTTTAACCATCTTTATTTGAAGAATTGGGATTTAAGTTGTTGAATACAGAATCTGGTTTGCTTACATATTTCAACTTTCACAAACTGATGTATGCCTCAAGACATGTTTGTTTCCGAGTGTTGTACAATGTACATTATAATAGACAAGATTCTATATTCTTTACTTTTTTAATATTGTTAAGTTATGTGCATTTTATCTTACAAAACGTGCAATTCAGTGCTTTTCGCTCTGGAATTAGAATGACTTGTTTTAGGGTATGTTTTCATCCAACAGATACCCTTGAATCAGTATGACATAACGGCCTCTTCAACCGGCAAGAAAATAATGTGCGATCAAGAGTTTTGCAAAACTGTGTTCACTGGTCCGAGTTCAGATTGCAAGGTTGGAATGGCCTGTGAATATGGCATCACTTATGGTGACAAGAGTAAAACTGAGGGCTTTTTTGTCAATGATTACATCAGACTTGATCAAGTGTCAGGAAACCTTCAAACGACAATCATGAATGGGTCAATAGCATTTGGGTGAGTTTTCATTTCTGATCTTAGAACCTCCTGTTTGGCTCTCTGTAATTGGATTCCAACACTTGTTATTATTCGGATCAAAGTTGTATGGCAAAATATGAAGTAATTGATCACAAGAACATAAGAACAAAATAATTGGCAGAGGAATTAGGAGATTTTATTATAATATGGAGAAAGAATACAAATATTCTGTGTTTATAATTTGTCTAACTTGTAATGAGGTTAAACAATTTAACTAAATTGTAGAGAAGATCCAGACTAGAAATAGAGTTGTAGATGAAATAGAATGTTCAAAAGTTTTCTTACCTAGATTTCTTCAAGTCCAATATAAATTTCAACTCCCAGTAGGGCTTCCAAATAGATTTTCAACTAGAATTTGCCTAATAGACTTTGGATAGAATTCCAAATAGAATTTTTCTTAATGTACACTTTAATTAGAACTCTCAATTATCTTCATCCAAGAATTGGGGTCACACCTAAATTCTAACATTGAGCATTTCTGGGTAGTGCTTAAAAGTAAGCCACACTTACTTTTAAGTTACTTAATTTTCCATACATGATATTTTGAATTTAAATATTTTACTACAAAACTATTTTTTCAAGAAAGCTAACTTAATTGGCTTTCTTCTAGAAAGCAATCTTGGCTTTCTAGAAAAGTAACTTTTAAGGACAGCTAAACATGCTCTCAGTTATCCGCAGTACAAAATTGAGTTCTTCGGCTATGTTATGCAGTTATCTGCAGTACAAAATTGAGTTCTTCGGCTATTTTATGTGAATAAAAGATTATACTTGCTTTAACTTTGTTGAAGGTAGTCCTCAGTTTGCATTAAGTACTTGAATGCATATGTTAGTCCATTTCAATCTCACAATAATTTGAAGTCATATATGGTATCTGTTTACATACATTCCTCTAAAATCAATATCTGTATACCAGTTCAACATGCACATTCACTCTAATGTTACCATTACAGGCTAAATACATTTGATTAGCTCAATTTGTGTCACAAACTTCCAAAAAATAGTGAAAAACGTCTGTTCTCTGGTATGAGGTGAGGTTCTTATAGAAAATCTAGACACATATATTTCACCGACATTGATAAAAGTGTTTCTTGTAACTGAATTCGTAATGATACTTCAAACTGCTTTGGACATAAGTTTTCTGAATAAAGCCCTCATATTTTAATTATGGGTGTTAAAACTTCCCTTCAAGTCCTTTTCAAAATATAGGCTCTTGCAAGTAGAGTGATTATTCAACACGTACAACAATATTAACATGTAAGTGTACTAGCTAATTATGCGAGATTCTTTTTGCAGCATTTTATCTTTTATTATTCCTCTTCTCTGGTTTTTGGCTTTCTTCAAAGTTCATAAATGTCTGCTCTCTCGGTCTCGGATATGTATGAGGTAATGACCGAGTGTATGGTGGACATATTTTGATTTCATTTGATCTTTTCTGTCAGCCTAGTTACATGTCATTTATTTTGTGGATTATACTTATCAATTGAGTCTTGCTCTTGTCTGTCGAACAATTTTCACCATCTTTGTAATTTCAATCATAACCTATTTATTATGTTTCTTTCTTTAGCTTACATGTTTGTGATCCAAGATAGGTGTTCAACTAAACAATCTGGAGATTTAGATTCATCCTCTCAAGCAGTTGATGGAATAATAGGTTTTGGACAATTGAACACATCCGTTCTTTCACAGCTTGCTTTGTCTAAAAAGGTGAAAAAGGTATTTTCACATTGCCTGGATGGAAGAATTGGAGGTGGCATATTTGCTATTGGAGAATTGGCACAGCCAAAAGTAAATTCAATACCACTAGTCAAAAACGAGTACGTTACTGCATAACTTATTTTGTATCTTGGAGTTATTAGTGGTAAATTTTTATTTTTGTTATGTTGTGTCGTGTGTTCATAGCATTTATCGGAATATATATCTGTATTCTTCTAATTGAGTAACACCTATTCAAGAACTTAAAGTTCTTACGATAGCATTTAATTTTTCCAGTATATAATTGGAGAATCTGTTCATTACTGTGTAGGGCAACTTCAATTTGGTTTCATGTCGATAATACTAGTTTTCTTTCTAGCTTGTCAACTTTTAATAAGGAACAATGAGAACATGTGAAAAAAGGGACACGGGTGTATTTGAACATTGTGGACCTCTTATTAACTTGGTTGTTGAAAGGCATGTTCAGTTTGAGATTTTAATTCTACCCCAATAACACAATTCAGACCCTCATCTGGTAGATGAATTTCAATCACCAATTATGTCTAATTACGACAGTGTTTTCTTTTTCAGTTTCCTAAATGTTGTGACCTTGTCAATAATACTGAATCCTTCCGTTTCCTAAATGCCTTACAGCATACCTTAAAAATTGAAGCTTTGCTATAATACCTCTACATTTATGAAGTTACTGGTGAAGGCAACTTATTTTCACATTTATTGTGGCAGCCATTTTTTAGTCAGAATTTGTGCTAGCATTTAGCATTAATTGTCTGTGAAGTTTGTTGTCTAAAACATTGTCTTTGGAATTTACATTTGTTTTATGTACTCTTCTTGAAATGTCTGCTAAAAGAAATATTAGTCTGTGTCTTATTGACTACGTATAGGTCTTTAATTACAGTTTTATTACTCTCTTAGGGCGCACTACAATGTTCTTATGAAGGCAGTTGATGTGGGTGGTCAATCTCTAGACCTTTCAACTGATTTTTTGGGCTATGATACCAGTGGAGATACGATTATCGACAGTGGTACAACTTTGGCTTATCTTCCATCTGGGCTTTATAATCAGGTTATTGAAAAGGTATATCTAATGCTTCACGCTCGTTCATCCACTAATTCATCCTAAAAATGAGCACTTAGTCATTGCTTCTTCCTCAATCCATCTTCTAGTGTACATGCTTCTGTTTTCCTCTAACCCCTCTCTATCTCTATCTCTCCCCCTCTCTAGATGATGGTACAGCAACCTGATTTGCAAACTCATTCAGTCGAGGAGCAGTTCAAATGCTTTTGGTATAACGGGAAGTAAGGCTCCTTGCTACTCCGTGGTTGTGTGTATGTGTGTGTTTATACATATGTGTGCACATTTGTATTCGTTTACACAAACATTAAAGACAATCTCCTTGCTGTTTTTTGTTGCATATTATGTTTTTTCCAAACTAGTGTTCCGATAAAAGTATAACTGTAGTTCAAATTATTATCTTGAAAGAATTTCTAGTTGCTTGTGTTTTCAGGTCCTTTTTTGAGGGATAAACTATTTAAAAACTTATATAAGCAAACTACCCAAGATGTCCAAGAAATTTTGCAATTACAAAAAAATTAAAAAAAATTAAAAATAAATAAAAATAAAAATAAAAATCAGAAATTGCTTTGTTTATTGCTATCATGCGTTAACTATGAATACCAGTGTTTAATATTTGTATTAAGACAAATATACCTGTAAATAACCGAAGTAGCTTACTCATTTAAGAAACCCCCTATGAACAATACTATTGATTGTGCCCAAGAACCATTTGATTGAGTTCTCCCTCTCTCACCAAAGCGAAGTAAGTAGGATCCTGGAATCAAATGAGTTCTCCATGGGTTCTTGCGCCCATGGTAATAACATTAATAGAGAGAGTTTTGTTTTTAGTAATTTTTACGAGCTAAAGCTGATGGACTATTTTCTAGTTTTGTGGTTTGACCGATTCATTTCTTTGATTTTCCATTTTTTTCTTTTCCTCTTCTTGATTGTTATTAGTGAGGATTCTATGTCAAGTATTTTCATAATTCTTTCCCTATTAACAAATTTCTTCTTTTATGTGAAGAAATTTAAATACGCTTTTGGTTTCATGTGTTTTGCAGTGTTGATGATGGATTTCCAGTCGTCACTTTTCATTTTCAGGGCAAAATTCTTTTGGCAGTTTATCCCCATGATTATCTGTTTGAAGTTCGTGTAAGTAAGCTGGATTAGTTTTATTGCATAGTTTGCCATTTTCTTGTTGATTGGGTTGCATTTGATTCCCAAGTGCTTTTACTATAAGGTGGCATGTAGCGTTCCTTGATCCTGCAGTCAAGTGGTTCTGGACATTGCAACTTCCTCTTTAATCTATATATTAAATTACAAGGAATATTTTTTCTATCCCTCATAAATATATATCAGTACATGTAAAAACATACTGTAGAAAATCAAATGGTGAAGGCCATAATGGTAACAGATAGATGCCATATTTCTAAAATCTTGCATGAACATTCAATTGGTTGAATTTGGAAGTTCGAAATTAATGTTATTATGCCATGTCCATTTTTTATATTATCTTGGAAAATATTTAAGACATAAAACACAGTGGCCATTACACAGCATCAGTTCAGAGAGTTGATGAAATGAATAGTGACGGTAAATGTAGAGAATCACAACAATGCAACTTCAAATTTGCAGGATAACGAGTACTGTATTGGTTGGCAAAGTAGTGGAATGCAGTCAAGAGATGGAAAGGAATTGACTTTGTTAGGGGGTACATTTCAAGCTTACCTTCTTATATTAAGTTATTTAAA